GACCTGTCAGCTCAGCTGTCCCTCCTTATGGGCGTACAGTATCAAGCAGATGACAGATGTAACTAGGAGAGACTGAGAAAACATAACAGTTATCATCTGTTGATGTCCAAAATTAAAGGTTAAATACTTTTTTTAAGTTAGGCATATGTTGGCTTTAGCAGGCTGCAGAGATGGACAAACATTGGCTGAAGAAAGGATGGAAGATGGATAGACAGGCGAGGGGCGCCCCCATCTGGTCATTTAGGTTGTTTGCAATGGTAACTAATGTAAAGCAAAGTATTTAAGGGTTGCAAGAACTTCATTGGTATTATGCAAGGACTATGTTAAAGGTTTTATGCTACATGTTGCCAAGTGTGCATGACTGTAAGATATCCTTAAATTGAATAAATATTCATCATCACATGAAAGATATCAGACTTTGGACTATTTATCAACACACAAGTTTTTGTCTGCAGGCCCAAACAATTTAACTGCGAGACAAACAACCGTTAGCTAATTAGCATGAGCTTTAGCTAGCGACCAGGATACTCTCACAGTAGTAAACGCTACACTTTGTTATTATTCCGGCTAAAGATACTACTTAGCAACATGTTGTATGAAGGTACGTTAATACCAAACTTCCCAAAATATGCTATTTTTCTTGCTTACTTCTTTGGCCTTGTCAGTTTACGTGGAGTCATTAGCTTACTTTGCTAATGTTTACTAGGTTACTGTAGCCTAGATATTTGAAATTAATAAAAGTACAAATAGCTTCGCCTGTAGGCCTACGTATTTTAAGTCAACAACATGGATCAGGGAAAATAAATGCTAATGAATTCACTTGTTTCAACCGTAGCGTGTAGGGTTGTATCCATAGACTGTGTACAGGTTGTATCATAGGCTCCTACTGTTGACATCTGCCTTTAGTTTAGATTGTAGACGAATACTTGTATATATGCATCTCATTTCTCATGCTACTGTAGAATGTAGTAACGTATGCACAAACTCTACTTACATGAGTTCAGTTGAAAGTTAAATGGGAGTATGGGGCCCATGTCATGGCCATTTCCACTGATCATAATTACATTGTTGAGGTATACTAAAATAGATTTATACTGTGCAATTTTCCAAACTCACATTGGTTTCGCATACAGCATCTCTGTCAAGCATGTGTATTCAGCAGTATTCACTTTCTCCACTAAACGACTCGTTGGAGCTCTTGCCCCCCCCTCCCTGTGAGCCTAGTGTGCTCCGATTGGTCAGCTCGGCCACTCTGTTCTGATTAGTCAACCACCAGAGAGGCTCCGCCCGCTTTTTTCGGGGAACATCAGTGTAATAATGGCATCGGTACAGCTGATATTTTATACTAACTAACCGAACTGAACCTACAACTGTTGTTATAGAAGAGTGTGACGGCCCCAGGGCCTTTGTGCAGGTGTGTTGCAGGGCTTACGGTGGGGTGGAGCTGAAGAGGGTAATCAGCGCGATCACGGACACCTCCGTAGCCGGTGCTATTAATCCCAGCGGCCCGGAGTCTCTCTCCAAAGCGGCTGCAGAAGGACGAACTCAGCCACCCTCTCCCCTCGACCACCTATCTCTGCATTTACCACAATAAATGTGCCGTGGTTTTGTAAACTCGTGTATGTCTCCTTGCCTTTCCGTTGTGGCCTACGAGCCGGTCATAACAAAGAGTAAGTTATTTTTACCTGTAATAAACTACTACTGTTTGATGAGAAATCAAATCATGGTTTGCTATATATGAATTCAGGGAAGAAAGGATAGGCCTACTAAGTATTTCCATTAAACTTTATTTTTAGAAATGTACAAAATGAACATAAATACACACGGTATATCATCCATTCCTCTTTGCATCTTGCCTGCGCACAGCCGGTGCGGTGCCTTTTAGCACGAGGCCTCAGTAGTAGTAGAAGTCCCGTCCCCGTCATGGATTGTCCGCCAGGATCTGGCTGGACGAAATCAAATGCAAATCACAAAATATTAGAGAAACTTAGTTGTTTTAGATTCGTTAGTAGTAGTTGTGCTAGGAGTGTAATGAACAGCTTGCCTGCTAATATGCTAACCTAGCTTTGTTTACCTTGGTAGCTAACACGATATGAACGTTAGCTTGGAGGAAAGGCAACTATAATGCAGTGTAATAAAACTACTATGAACAAAAGCTAGTGGTTCATATTAGGCTAGCAATAACGTGTTTATAATTGCAATCGTATACGGGTATTCTGCTACCATACAATGTAACTTGCATGAATACATTGTTTTGCGCTAGCATACAGCTAGCCTCGTTAGCTATACATGCAGTATATGTACTATCACAATGTACGGTAAATCACCCGGAGTATACTGTATGAGTATTCCGTGTGTGTGACTGCAGACATTCTCCTGCCATGACAAACATGTAAGGCCATCTGCTGACATTGTAGTTGATATATTTAAACGCTAGCAACGTAGCATCACAAAAATGTTTTTCCGACCAAACCTAGCTCTAGCTCCGTGTGTTAGATCGGTTGCATACACGCTACGCCAGCTATAATGTAATTACGTTTCGCGACTGACCGCACGGCAAATCACCCGGAGTATACTGTCAATAGGTATTTTGTGTGTGAATGCAGACATTCTCCTGCTATGAGATACATGTATGCAAGGCCATCTGCTGATATTAGAGTTGATATATGGACACTCTAGCAACTTAGTTAGCACAGTTAGCACTGTGTCAATGGCTTAGCAGTCCAACACAGTTTACACATTTAAACAGTCTTGTTTGATAAATACACAAATAACAATGCAAACTTACAGGTTGTGTACCCGGATCTTCCCCTGCTCCAAACGGTCCAAACAAGCTGTGCATATCCGGCCTCAAACTGGGCAATGTTTTGGAAGCTTTCGTCTGTGAAATGCCGGTTCTTCGAACCTCTGGAGGAGGAACACGCCGCTGCTGGTGTGGCCATAGCTCTTCGGGATTGGTCCATTTCGTTCCGGGTACCGCATGACATCAGGCGGTACCCGGAAGACTCAAATGGGCAGTGACGTATCTCCAACGAGGCGTTTTGGGGAGGTATTTTCTGTGTTAGAGTTTTACTCGCTACAGGGTGTACTTTGAGGGTTTTGACTCTGCACACCGTTTACATGCATAAAAACCTTCATAACACACAAGGGGACGGGTAATAACCGGAAAAGCATGACATGGGAGCTTTTCTAACACTGCTTTCCACAAACCTGCAAACTTCCTCCACTAGATGGCAGTGGTGTTTTTATCTTTTCTGTTATACTAACAGGCAAATAAGTATGTTATGACAAACTGAGCTCCACACCTGCCCTATTGAGATGCACACACTCTATTTCACATTAGACACAGTCCACCGTGGGATTCTTCAATTTCATGCTTCCCTTCAGAGCCCGGCCACTTGAAAGATACTATATCTCAAAGACGGGACACAGTAAGCTGCACCCTAATACAGATCCTACATTTGTGGGTGCTCCAAAGTCCCCACCATGCTGTATTCATTTGTATGGCTCGGCAGTGATGATCCAAACCATATGAGGAGCTGAGTGGATCTGCAGAGACCCGGCGAAGAGGCAGGCCACCCACAGCCACCGCTCACTGCTCTCTTTTCGTCTTTCCTCCCCTCATAGGTCAGGCAGCATTCCTTCGGTACCCTGGGGATCTACGCTGAAGCAGGCAACATCATTCACATAGACTCAGATACAAGCTTACTACTATCATAGCATATGCTACTTTTATTGATCAAAAGGGAACACATAAAAAAACGGTGACAGATGGGCAGACTCAAATAACTTGGCATTAGTGAGTACCTCTCAGTGTCATAGGGTGAATGAGTGCAAGAAGAGAGAAAAGTGCAGATGTTCATATCAAACATGATCATGATGCACATTGGCCTTTTGTTACCTTGTATTTGGGACTTTTTTTTAAACTTGATGGTGTCTGGTCGACAGATACTGTAAATAAACCCACACTATTTCAATTATTTCTATTTGGCCTGTTGTGGTTGTCTGTGTTTAATCATCAACTTACAATGAGGGGACATGAATGTTCTTGATAAGCTCCAACATTGTCGTGTTTATTGGAGTTGATATATTGCTCAAGGACAGACCACCTTCACCGCAACCGCATATGTCAGTATTATTTGCAGCTGTAGAGTGAAATATCAGCATTCATTGATAAACCCAGACAGTCAACAAAACAAGGTATAACATTGTTGGGGAGGCAGATGACTTCATTTATGAATGGACTGTCATATAGAAGGATTTCGGCACTTGATATACATTTCATGTGGCATGATATGGATGAAAACCATTTGAGAATAAAGTAACCACTTTTCTGCGGTGGTTTTACTTTACTCTGATTTTACACTACAAAGATGCAGAGTTTCAGGTCAGAGCTGGATCAAAGCTGCTTCAAAGGACTGTTGTTTGAACAGTTTAATGAGATAAAAAAATCAGTATGCCACTGTTCCCTCCGAAAACCACAAAGAGCAGCTTCTAGACAGAAAACTACCACGATCAAACTGTATGTTATTTATGAGGAGAATACACTTTTGAGGTTGCCACATTAAAAAGAAAGAAATGACACCATATGAAAACATCCCACCAGACAAATAAAAAACTTGAACTGCTTTATTTAAGGTCATATTCAGAGGTTATACTGAGTAAAGTATTTCCCAAATACTTAAACTTTTAATTAAATTTGTCCATTTGATAGGCCATGTGACGAAAACTTGATTTAAAGTTTAAAGAAACTCACTAAACCTTTTCTTGGACTTAATTAACCTTTAATGGCCGTAGTAATATGGTGTGAAAATGTTTAGTGAGGTCATATAAGTGCCCCGCGTCTGGCACTGGAGGGCATGGATCATTTCCCGAATCTGGAAATTGAGTCAGAGTCCCACTGTGTCCTGCCCTGGCTTATTACTGGCTGAGAGCATCGCCCATCCCAGCAGCATAATTCCATCTGGGCTAAATATTTATACAGAGGGGGAACGACATCACTTATCCACAACACATCCATTCACGTAAGAGAGAGCTACTTCCAGAGCTGAGCTAGAGTGATCCACTCTGTTTGCCAGAGAACATCACTTCTTTTTGCTGACAATTTGCAGAGATAAACTTTCAGAAAAAAAGGTTTTGAACAAAGTAGAGTCACAATGATCTTTTTTGTTCCTGTTTTTGCTGTGCTTCTCACTTTGTATCAGATTGGGAGGAATCCTGCCAGTGGTGAGTGGACTTTTTATTTTGTATTTTGAAAAAGTAGGACCAAAAGAGGTCAGAATTTTAACATAATTGCAAGACTCCTTTTGCAGTTTTCATAATGATGAAGTACTTTTTCCAGAACTCATATTTATGTACTGTTATGTACCTTTTATAAGCCCTTTTTAAGAAGCTACTAGTCATGTACTCTTTCTTAAAGAAAAACTGACAATTAATATCAGTGATAATGTCCTTGCATACAGTTGCTAGGTTAATTTTCATTCAACTACAGTTCTATAATCAGCCATTGATTACAAAAAGTCCAATTATCAATAATTCTGAATTATACACTTTTTTCTGTATTTATATCAACGTTTATGAGTCAACTTATCTTATTGATGTACTTTCTGCAGCGGGGATGTGCTGGCTGCAGCAGAGTCAGGACCAGAGGTGCGACATGGTGCTGATGAGAGGGGTGACCAGAGAGGAGTGCTGTGCCGGGGGCCGCCTGGACACAGCCTGGTCCAACTCCAGCCTGCCCATGAATGAGGTCAGCCTGCTGGGCTTCCTCGGAATTGTCTCTTGTAAACCATGCAAAGGTAAACAAACAAACGTTTAAAAGATTAGTTGAACCTGCCAAGTAGAAGGAATCCATTAATGGTGCTTTGATTTGGTGTATCACTGCGGGGCATGGAATTAGTCATCGCATGTAAACCAAAACTTAAATGCTCTACTTAAGTACCTAAAACCCACATTTGAACAATTTACAGTCACATTGTGAGTAGACTTTTGAAGTTTTACAACCGGAGCAGGCTGTTTCTGTCAGTAGTAGTCTTAAGGTAAGTACCGGGAGTTCTAATCTCTGCTTGGATATCATTTGCAAAGGCTTTACTTGTGTTTTAAAGATCACAGGGACAAAATTGGCTACTCTGTTACACAAAATGAGTTTTTGGGAGAGTTGGTGAAAATGAATACGAACCATTTGGCAACTGTAAATCAAGATATGTACACAATGATTTCCCGGAGAAGTTTGCTAACAAAATGCAGACCTGGATCAAGGAGAGCTGTTTCACATTACTACGCCCAGCTGTCCTAAAAATGTTCATCCTGTTGAATCTCTGCAAGGTTTATTCTGGTTCACTTACTGATAAATTCTGTTTAATGAGCAGTACTTCAAAATGAGATTTCTCCACGCTAATAAGGTCCAGTAAAAATCAACACATTTTTGGCAAACCCACACAACCACAGCCTCCTAAAATGTGGATTTTATTTGTACACAAAGGTAGCCTGTTGCTCTGTCAAAAAGGACTCACATGAAGGTAAACAACTTTTACATGGAAAATGAATAAAAGTTGGGTGAATCACAACTTAAATCGCCCCCTTCCCTTTAAAAAAAAAAAAAGCTATAAAAAAAGCCTGTTTGGGTCCAAGAGCAAAATAAGAAAATACATTCCTGCAGGCTGGAATAAATGCCTGCCACATGCCCAGAAGTCTGGGACTCATAATGTGCTACACTATCTTGATCATTTAGAATTCTGTGGAAGGAAATACGCTGTCGCTATCATGAATGTCCCGCCAATAAAGTCGACCCTGTCATCATCCCAAGACTGTAGTTTTTATCAAACATTTGCTTATTGGTAACTGCAGAGGAGATTAAAAAAAAAATGCATCAAGAGACAGACGGAAATCACACAAAAGTAAGACCAGAAGAGTATGAGAAATAAAAAGCAGATCTGAAATAAAACAGGATATTAAGGTACTGGTAAAGACTTCAAATAATAAATACGTTCTTATAGTTTACAGAATCCTCAGGACTCAGTGCTGATCAGGCATCATTTCTAAAGGTCCTGGGAAGAAACATGTGTGCATTGTCTAACTCAGCACTGTGTAAGATTACAGTTCCCCCTGTGCTTTGACATTATGGGGTGTCAGAGGAGCCCGGGGGCTTCCTCACTTCTCAGCCTGTAAACTTCTCTGACAGCTATTTGAGCTCCGTCTACCACTGAGCCCCTCCGTCCCTCTGCAGGAGCTTAGCCCATTCAGTGTGCAGCCGTACACATAGATATGTTATGAAAACACGCCAGCCTCACATTCCAACAGGCGAGACACCCCTGTGTGTAACGGTCAATAAAGAGATGTGATCATTGTAAATATTGTGCAAGGTGAAAATTGTGTTATGGTCTGGGAAAACCCCAGATCCCGAGCTTGTTTTGTATGAAAATGCCTGCGGATCACCTGATGTCTGCAGACTTGTTAATACAGTAACATCACACTGAAACTGTGCAGTGCTCACGCACATATGAAACCACTCGCTGTGCTTTTGTAGAGACTTGCGATGGAGTCAAATGCAGTCCCGGGAAGGTTTGCAGAGTGAAGATGGGAAGGCCTCAGTGTGTGTGTGCTCCCGACTGCTCTCAAATTACCCGGAAGCACGCTGTGTGCGGCAGCGACGGGCGGTCATACAAGGATGAGTGTACTATTCTGATGGCCCGCTGCATGGGGCACCCCGACCTGGAGGTCATGTACCAAGGAGACTGCAAAAGTTAGTAAAATGTTTCTACTTTATGCTATTTTCAAGATACGCCGTTCTGCACAAAGCAAGTTTGCTTACTTTTAATTTGTATTTGTTGCACAGAGTCGTGCTCCAACGTGGTGTGTCCCGGTACCCACACCTGTGTGACTGACCAGACCAACAGCGCTCACTGTGTCATGTGCCGCACAACTCCCTGCCCAATGCCCATGCTATCTGAGCAGTCAATCTGTGGCAACGACAACATCACTTACCGCAGCGCCTGCCACCTCCGCCGCGCCACCTGCTTCCTCGGCCACTCCATAGGAGTCCGCCACTACGGCCAGTGCAGCAGTAAGTCAACCAAAATACCTTCTCTTCATCAAGTCTTACTTGTCTGTCACAATGACAATTCTGCAGCTCTGATGGAAGCACATTTTAACCCTTTGTTTTGTGCAGATCCTCCTCGGAAACCTCAAGATTTCGAAGGCAGTGAGGAGAACGCAGTCTAGATGGACAACTCCTGACTCGGTCCTTTTTCAAGAGACAACTTGGTCGACAAACCTTTCAAAGTTTCACACCACTAGCTTACCACGAAGACCTCTTTTTTGGGCAATCACTCCCTCAATCCTTTGTGCACCGATGACCATATATTTGGATCTCTGTTGGAATACATTATATAGTGTAATTTCCTCAAAAATAGCTACAAAAACCCTGTGAGAAATTTGTGCTAATCTTGTGTTAGTTTGGAAAACAGAAGCAGATTAACACATGTTTTGAGTTACAAATATATCAGGCTCTTTGGGAGATGTGTGCATATTGTAAATAGAATACCACTACTATTTATTGGAGAAGGTATCAAACTCTATTTATGTTTTTATTAGTTAGTTACAGTTCCATATATCCTTGGTAAAGCTGATGCATAAAACGTATTTATTGTGTTCGGTTTATTGTGTTTGTACAATTGCGGCCACTGGCATTTTTACAGCTTTTTTACCGTTTTTACGATCTCGATGCCACACAAACGTACTGATTTCCCCAACAGGCTGATGGAAAGCATCACTAATATGTTTGTAAGTTGTAACCACTTCCAATGTGGTTTAAATTCCCCACAAACAAAAAGTACTACAGTTTTACTGTGTGTACTTTTTGTAGTTCTCGTCTGGAAGTGAGGAAGGGGCTTAGCCTAAACAAACCTGTATAGTCTCTCTATCCCTCCTACCACACATGTTTACTCTGGATCCTGATTCAAACTCTTTGCCACCCGCAAAAATTAACAGTTTGGTTTTGTTTGGAGTTTCAGAAGACTGTTGGTACAAACCCAAAGTCCTCTACAATACCTCCTCTGTTGACTGCTTGGCTTTGTTTTGTAAATGCATTTTGGGAGGTTGTGCTAGTTCAATCTGTGGCTGTTTTGCTGCGATTATTCGATTGAAATATTTCCAAGAATTGCCAGACAAATGTAATCAGCATCATCTGATTGAAAGGAAAATGTAATTTGTCTGGAAATTGACTGCAGTTATCGCCAACTGAACATACATGATTATACTGCTATCGGAAATGAGTCAACCGGTTCATCGTTGACACTGTAACATATCGATAGAAATCACCAATTTCCAGTCCAATTAAATCTCTAAACTCAACGCAGACTTATAAAATACTTTCAATAACACTTATTGTGTATTACGCAACATCTCAATGAATCTCATGTAAATAACAGACTTGTGTGTACCTGCCTGTGTACCTACTGTGAAATGTGATCGACAAATGCATCAACATATTTTTGTATTTTTGTACTGCCATTTCAAAACTACATAAAGTGTATTATTTGTCACAATGTGTCCTCTTTCCTTTTTATCTTGTATAAGGTGAATACACTGGATTCACTTTGCAATCTGTTTTTTCTCCAATCCACGTCATCACATCATCTGCATTTGATTATAACACCTACAGTTTACAATACACAGTCCTTTACAACTGTGAAACTGCGTCTGTCATGCATTTTAAAATATTTAGATTTTCCCAAATTTTTTAACAGTATTAATCATAGCAAGTTTCAGCCAAATGAGTTCATACTTGTTTCCTAAAGTCAACTGGATGGTGTTCTTATGCTCCAGCAGCCAGGCGTGCTCCCTTTAAATGCGTGTAGCGGTTAGACCTTTTCTCCTGTGCGTGCCGTGAGTCGCCTCTCTGACAGGCCTCTCAAGGCTAAACGTGAGAGGCGGCAGGGAATCAAATCCAGGCTGAGCAGCTTTTTCTCCCCTGGTCTCCTCAGGGATATCCCCCTGATCTGGGGTAGGTGGGTGGGTCAGGGGGTTGGAGGGTGAAGAAACTTAGGAATGAATGTTTCAAAGTGCTGAGGCCTGGGTACTGACTCACTCCCCTGTAAAAAGTACCTCCCTTGTTTTTCTGTCTTCTCTCTCCTTCCTCTGAATCCTGTTCTCCGCCATGCTGCAGCATCTGGTTCGACTTTAGGGAGATGTTTATATTCCTGTCCAAGAACCCTTTTATTACACTGGGAATGGAATTAGATGTTTTGTTAGTTTGAACAGGGCAAATAACAATGCCACTGAGGGGCTGTTGCTGTGCCCACACATAAAATATAACACACATAATTGGCTTTTTCAGATATATTTTTATGTTTTCTGCACATTGTGTGTAAAATTCCATAAGATTGATTGATCCAAAGAGCCATACAAACATAATGGTCACATATAGTCTCCAGAATAGATGTGACTTCAGAGGGACCCTCTGTACTTGTCCAGGCAGAGGTTTACTTCTGTAGATTGAAGCCTCTCATTTCAATTCAGCTTTTCATCTTTGGTTTTAATATATAGAAACCTATCTAAACTTTAACTGCCTAATCTACACCTCATTATGAAGGATGTATATGGAAAATGCAATGTTAAAGCCAATTATCCCCATACCTTTATGAGTCTTCTATAAATTCCTCTGCGACCCACACAATAAACTCACCAAACCCGTGTTTCTCACCATAGTTTAAAAAAGTGGCAACCCCACAGGAATTTGCAGTGAACACCCACTTAAATAAAAACATTTGTCCGCACTTTGCGGTACATGTGTTGAAATGACTGTCGTCTTCCAGGAAAATACACAAACTGAAAAATAAGTTGAGACAGCACTTTTGATAAATGTATCTGGACAAACAATCCTGATGATGGATAAGAGACAAATCCCATTTGCTGTTGTCATTATGACTGTGTAATACATTCACCAGGAACAACCTGTATCTCATCACCACACAGGCCTCTGACTGATGTTGGATATGATGCGCCTGTGTCACACCAGCGGTGGTAAAACCACAAAACCACAGAGTAAACCTATGAGCCATTTCAGAGCTATCCACATTACACTTAACATGAGACCTCAGGAATTCTCTGCCCACTTTACTCCCTATTTCACTCTTTTTTTCTTTAAGTTATGCTTTGTGGTGCAGCAAATGAGGGGTCAGCCTCACTTCCACTGGAACACAGCTTTGTGTGTGTTTGTCTGCATGTTTGAGTGTGTGGGTGCAATGCATCTCACCTGTTATGAGCAAGGGATCAGTCACACACATTACATCACAACCTCTAGCTGAGTTGTTTATTTCCCTACAAACACATGGGGCTGTGATGTGACGCCCACACTGACATTGCAGCGGTGCGTAATCATCCTGCTCTGAGATGTCGAGCGTCTTTCTCAACGACGTCCACATGGTATCATTTCCGCCAAGTTGCTGTACTACTTCCAGTAAGTGAACAGCCAAAACTTAGATTCAAATGATGTTGTGATGAGACCAAGGCACCGTGGAGTGTTTCAGACCACCCACTCTCCGGATCGCGCCACTGCATTGTAAACAGCTCAGACTCACAGCTGAAACTAATAGATATCAGATCCATCACTCCATCAGAATATATCTGCCTCACACTTTATTTACTAGGCTTGCTCTGTAACACGGCAAGCCTTTTACTTTTCCACATGTGCATGAAATTACATTTTGACAATTGATGATTAAACTGACACAACAGACCACACTTCAGTCTTAAAGTTTATACTGCGGCAGATGACGTTCTATGAAATGCTCGGAAATGCTTTCTATTTTTTCTTATCCCTGATTTGGAATCATGTATATTTCACTGAGTCATATTTTAGACTATCAATCTGTCCAACTTCCATCATCGAGTGCTGCTCATATAAAGATGATGACAATATCTTATTGAGAAGAAGAACTGAATTGATGACATCTTTAAACCCTTTATAATCACAAAACTATAATGATTATGTCAATCATCATTACAAGGTTGTAGTGCTCCAAGATGTTAATGTTTGCCAGGCGTAGGACACGTTGTCCCTTGCCTGGCAAACATTAGCTTTACCTGACAACACAGCAAGTGGTTAATTTGAAACCAAAGCATGTCTCATTTTGCGCAACAACTGAAACTCCAGGTATTCTTACTGCAAATTGTCAGTGTTTTTCAGGGATTTGCCCAGGATCCGATCACCGACAAAAAATCGGAGTTAGGAAGTTGTGCAAATGCAAATTGTCCACAATTATTCTGGGGGAATTGTCTCACTTCCTTGTCCAGACCTCTGGGACGGCTTCTAGTCTGTGTGTGGTCTGGCCCATACTATATGTACTGCCAAGAGGAAAATGTACTGGGAATACAACGTTAAAGATTATATACTGTATGTTAAATGTAAATATAGAATATTGATTTGAAAAAAAGTCAACTGTAAACAATATCACCTGCTATTCAATTTTTACAGTATTAAATAAACATTGAGGTACTGTGTGAGACTACTCAAGAGTTTTGTAACACGTGTGCCTGAGACAATATGAGATTGTTGCCTCCCTCTGCTTTGCACTGACAAGGTCATTTAACTCAGTCTGGTTTGAGTTCATGTTGAATTATCTAGCCACACAACAACAAAACATTCAATGAGGTGTGAAAATTGCGCTCAAATTATGTCAAATTGTGCAATTTGAGGCTTGGAAAAGTTCCAAGCCCCGTTTTTTCACCATCAGCTTTCCAGGTGGCTCTCGCATAACAAGAAAATGCATTTTTTTACATGAGCCTTGTTTGCATCAGAACGTGTTTGCCTGTAATGGACAGTTTTGCTGTCATGTGTGAAAGTATGCAATGCAAACTCAGCAAAGTGAGAAAGTTCTAGATAGGATTTAGTTACTGTATCAGTAACTCAATATCAACCGTTTATTTTAGTTGAACAGGGAGCCACTGCAGGACAAAGCTACATCTTTTAGGCAATTCTCCGCTTGCTGAAGTAGCACAGTGTACCACAAATGAACTCAAGGCCCATATGGTATCTATTGCTCCAGACCACAGAGCTGCACATCTTGTAAACACACCGATGGTCAGTTTTAGATTAGAGGAGTAACTGCAGCCATGCATCATGTCATTAGTTCCACTGTTGTTGTTGTGTACTGCGGAGGCTACGAGACAACTGCATGCGCAAATATATAAACACTTTCCCATACTGTATGTACAGCATGCCATGGTGAAAAAGTATTCAAATCCTTTCTTTCAGTAAAATAGTAACACCACAATGTTCACATTTTTACACACATGAAAGTCCCACTTTCTAAAACTTTACAATTGAAGGAATGTTAGTCGGGCCTACTATCACCAAAAGTAAAGTATAAAAAGTGTGTATTCATTTTGAAGAAAATAAATTGTCTATTTATATGAGGCTTCTTGTTTGGATAATATCGCTGCTGCATAAATGTGTATTTTGCATCTTTGTGCTGTTCTCAAGGTCAGTCACGAGCAGAGGATGTTAGAGGGGAAGGGGCTTAACTGCATAAAACGGCACATCGGCGAGTTTTGTTACTAATCTAATAAAGATATGCCTAGAATGACACATTTTTGTTCAAGCAATATTAAATTGTATGTTTTTAAAACAAATCACTGTCAGGTTGGTTCACACACTGCTTCATGACAGCTATTTAAAAAGTAAATGCAAATACATTAAATGTATTTCTGTAAATTATTCTAGTTACTACCTTCTCCATAAAGGCATACTGTATATTCTTCAGTAATAGCAGGCACTAAGAAAATGCTAATATTGTATGTATTAGACACAGGTTTAGGTTTCTCATCGATCATTTTTACATAAAAGGCAAACACACTAAATACAGTGCAACTTGGCATAATTGTAGCCTATGTCTTTGGAAGAAATCAGATTCAATATACACATGACATAAAATACAAAACACAACTTATTTTGCTTATTAAAACTGTTCAGTAGCACAAGGAACTCTGTGAACTGGGTTACAAAATATAAATTATATTTGAATAAGGGCATTTCTCTAATAGGAGGGCAAAAGGGCAGGTGCTGAAGCCCCCTTTGGGGTCTATTTGTGCACGTGCCTGTTCAAGGTTGTCATAATTCAACTCCTATATATATATATATATATATATATAATGTTGGCTAGTTAAATCTACAGGGAGAAGCACATATTCTTAAAAAAGTCAACTTTTCATGTGTGACAATGCATTTTCCAGCTGATTCGGGATGTTTTTATTTAGTGCATTCAGTTTAAGAAGTACAATTTTGATTCAATGGAAAAAGAAGAAAAATAAATAGGCTTTTTCCTTGGAGAGGAAGCGTGTGAAAAACTGTAACCTGAAAAGTAACTAAAGCTGAATGCGAGCCAATAACAATACTCCATTAGATAATATTCTGCAGTGTTCCTATACACACACTTGTTATTGTCCTTTTTCTCCTTCATAACACATTCATCCACCTGTTGGGGAATTCTATGTGGAAATGCTATAGGCTTTGTTGTTTTTCTTGGGAACTTCTCTTCCCTGCTGTGGAGGTCTTTCAGTTGGTGTTGATGTGTGGGATGGGCTGGGTAGAACAGATAACATCACAGTGTGTCCTTCCAACATGATATGGTTTGTATCTTGTGCTCAGTGTCCTTGTGTTTCCTTTGACTTTACACTATGTTGCATAATTCGTTTTTTTTGAATGATTCTTTGTTACTCATAATATCATAGACAAGTTAGGATTTTTTTTTTTAAAAGGGGGACCAATTATGCTAATTTGCAGCTTCATATTTGTGTTTTGTGCCTCTGCTGTGACATGTTTACATGCTTTAATGTTGAAAAGTATTATATTCGCATACTGCCTGTGCTGCAGCACCTCTTTCCACCCTCTGTCTAAAACCAGAGCCCAGTCTGCTCTGATTGGTTAGCAGGCCAGCTCTGTTGTGATTGGTCAACCGCTTAGAGATGTCCTGGCCTATCATGTGTCAGAGCACTCGGTTACATTGTGATGTCACTATGTTACGGAAGTAAACAAAGGAGTCCAATTGAGGCATTTCAGGCGGGGGGTGTGGTGTGGGAGAGAAACTCCCTCTGGAGGAAACACAGGGATTTTAGCCTTTGAAGACACTTTACATGCACAAAAACCTACACATAACACACTATAGGAAAGGATAACCCCCAAAAGCTATAAGACATTTATATGAATAAAGAGAATAAAGAATAAAAGTCCACAGCTAAGCTAGCACGTCTGTGAGGCTAGTCATAGCAGTCATTTGAGCTTAACGCAAATGTTTATCAAGTATAATCTTTCCCATGTTCAATATCTTTGTTTATTGCAAGAGAATGCTAAAATGTGTTAATTGATACAAATGTATAGAGTAAAGCTGAATTGGATGGGAATGACCATACTGCTAGTTTGCACCTTAAAGTGACTATGAAAAGAAACTAAAAGAGAAGGCTATAAAAAAAATATAAAGTAGATCATGTCAAACTTTACTGAAGCATCTGCAGTAAGTGACCACAAACACTATACTAAAACAAAGCTTGTTGAACTTAACTTGCTAACTGTACATATATGTTCCTTGGGCAACATCTATATTTTGTTAGCTGCCCAGTGATGTAATCAAAAACACTGATGTGCCGATGAAGTACCACGGGATTATGTTTTGGATCACAAGCAGAGCAGGAAAGCACTGTGGGATATCTGCTGGGATTTAAACATGTGAGTATGCATGTTTAGTAAGTGTGTGTGTGTGTGTGTGTGTGTGTGTGTGTGTGTGTGTGTGTGTGTGTGTGTGTGTGTGTGTGTGTGTGTGTGTGTGTGTGTGTGTGTGTGTGTGTGTGTGTGTGTGTGTGTGTGTGTGTGTGTGTGTGTGTGTGTGTGTGTGTGTCTGATGCACAGCTGTGTGTCTGATGCACAGCTCTTGTGACACATGGCCGCAGACAGAGTGTGTCTGGAGGGAGAAAGAATCTTCGATGGGTTGGACTGAAAACAAGTGACGCATGACTAAGAGGCCCAGGAAGTTCCAGCAGGCGGCTGTTGTTGCTGAGTGTGTGAGCGTGTGTGTCTGTGTGTGTTTATGTTTGTACCCGAGTCTGATTAGAGGGGCCCAAAGGGACTATGTGGGGCAATCCCGGCTGGAGTGTCTGGAAAAACTATATGGAGTGACAAAAGCAGCAGTGTCCCTTACAGCATATCTGTCTGCCGCCATGGCTGCAGCACTTAATTGCCTCAAATAGTGTAATTGAGTGTAATACATAAACCTTAAAAATAAGTCAGAGAACACAACAACAAACTGTACGTGGATGTATTACAGCATGTGATTTTACATAGATACATGTGCAATCTAAAAGTGGGTTCATCACATCAGCAGGAATAATTCAAATCCCTTGCAGAGTTTTACAGCATTTATGCAAATAACAGCATGAAAAAATCGAATGTATTCATATTTCTTCAAATACCACAACTCAAGTAGCCTACTACGTGATCATTGCTCTGTCTGGTAAAGTTGTTTTCTCCTGCTCTCACGACCTGTCCCTGACCCAAAGTTACCCACTCCACAGATTGAATTGCTACAATGAGCATTTGACTGGGCTGGCGGTGACGCACTGGGCGCGGAGAGACAAAAGCTTACCTCAGCCAGGCAGACATAGCAAACCTCAATGCTATCAGACCCTCTCTAATCTCAGCCCATGGGACAGTCGTGTCTTTCTCGCTCCCACATGGCCAGTTCAGACACAATGCCGGCCCAGAGACGAGTTAGGTTACACTGTGAGCTTTGAGAAAACATCCATGCCTAATATAACTAATCATATCTTTGTTAAGCCTGCCATGTTGGGAAATTAAACCATTGGGCCACTTGACATCTTGCAGTATTAGGACTTTTGACAAAAATGATTTTCTGCAACATTATGAATACAATAGAAACTAATTGCATCCAGGGTTACTCTCATCAAAAAAAAAAAATGAAAATTTTAAAATAAATATCAGGCCAGATGGTTTGAGAGATATGATTGGCTGATAAGAGGTTGGATGGGAACTCCTACTTACTCTCAACATGTGACGCCAAGCACCAGAGATAGTGCAGACATTTGTACAGCCGTCACTCTGCAGTTATATGGTAATCACATTATGGATACCTGTGAAACAAAAATATTGAGGACATTTTTAATTTACAGCCTCGAAAATAAAAACAGACCCAAAAACAAAACAAAATCAATCATTTTCTTCTCCAGTTTTTATGCAACTAAGCAAGAACTTAATTGCTATCTCAGGGCCGACAGATATCCGCCAACAAGAACTTGGCTGTGTCCACACAAGACGAGAGAATGTCTTTCCCATGTGAAGGGCTATTTGTTAACTGATTTATTTGTCTGATTTGACACTTGATAAAATGGTTCCAACAACAACTGTCAAATAATCAAGGAAACACACAAATCCACCTTCGACGAGATGCGTTTCTCAAAAACAGATGCTACTTTTCAACACTTTAAGTATGACAGTTAGGCTGAAGAGGTGGTTGACAGGAATTCAATGGAAAAGTTAAATGTGTCAAAATAGATCCAGTGCAGTGCAAGATTGCAAAAACACATCTCTGGTTTATATGTGAACAGGGACAGAAGAAGGCCCTGATCAGGAATATTACTGGAGTTCAATGGAGACACATTGTGGTGATACATAATACAGACTTTTTCATTGGTATGTGAGTATGAATTAAGGACAACTAAACCTGGTTAACCCGAACATATATTAACCTGAATGAATATTTCATCATTTCTAAGTCAATATAGCAAGAATGTATTGTGTCCTCAGTCCCTGGCTACAATGTGAAGTACAGTACAACTCTTCATCAATTGGTACACAAAAGCACCACCATGTGGCCATATTCTTTATCACACATAATGGTTAGTCTTTTGGAAATGCAAATACATAGATAATTCAACAGTAAAATAAGCCTGGTTTTAATTTCTTATGTTTACACCTTTTGTAAAATAAAAAGCCAAATTACTTCAATATAGTCAATTTTTCAAATTCATAATCCTAATCTGTAATTATAGGATAGAATATATAACGTATATCCATCCAGTAATGTTGCTTGTTTTTTCTACATTTTCATCTTTCATATATAATAAATGTATATAGTAGGCCTATTATTATTTCTAATGTACGTTTGTCGTATTTTCTGTCCGTCAACATTGACCTCTCCGGTGCTCCGTAGTCCTTCCTCCACCTCTCTACCTGTTTAGTGGTTAAAAATGGCTGAAGCTCCTCCATGGCCCAGCCGGTTCTTCTGTCACAGATGCTCCGCAGAGATTAGTCCTCGGCTTCCCGTAAGTACCGTATACATAAAGTAAACATGGATACAGTTGTACAAATGAAAACCGCAGTGGTGTTGCCGTTACTTTAGTGGAAAGCGTTTTAGCAACGGCCCCAACAGTTAGCATGCTAGCAGTGTTAGCTGGCTACTACGAGGGTCCCGTTTATCTTGCTAACGCTAATACAGTGTTAGTTAGCTTGTTATCTAAGTAGTAGATCCACCAGCATACAAACTTATACTACGTAGTCATTACCCAACTGCCATTGCTGCTTTGTCATGTGTCATTTATAACATCGTTTGGCTGGATCATTCGTTGATTATTCTGCGTTTTACGGGGTATGTTAGCCTAACTGTTAGCTATATTCACTAACAAAAACGGTCTACTCTTTAACACTGATCGCCTCAAATGATCGACTTCGGGTATTTGTTTCATTTGTGAGAAGCTGTCCTTACTATGTTTGCTTGGTTGTTAATCACTCCAACAGCAACAATGCCACTGCATCCTTTTCTTGTTTTGCTATTCAATAAAAGCACACAAGTGGCATGCCTGTCAGGGGCTAGAATGATCTGTCACAGAGCTGTAAATATGCTCTTCACAATGCAAAGATCAGCCATAGGTTTCTGTAGGAAGCTGGTTGGGCCTGTGGCCACATTAACACCCCAACTGCTGTGTTGTTGTTATTAATTGCCACTTATTTGAGTTATTTTGAGTTTAGGTTAATTTTATTTTGTAATTTCAGCCATCTCATATGCATCTGATTGACACATGACCATCATAAAATAAACATAAGGACAAAACATCTATATATATTAAGAAAAAGCACAATGACAAGGATGATGTGGTGTGTTTTGAGCCTGGGAGAGAAGTCGTAGCTCATTCTGGTGGTTGGGCGTATGCAATCCACTACCTGATTTACATCTCTGCCGGTGGATGTCCTAAATGGATAAAAATAAAATCCAGTTGGTGACCTGCTGACCTTTGGGTTGGCTTACCGATTACAGTGTCCTTATCAAATAGTGACACACAAAAGGAAATAAGCACCTGCCAAATCCAGCTACTAAAACTTCAGGTCACCTCACCTGCCACCAACGCTGTCCCTTACATTAAGAAATGAAGTCAAATATATGTGTTAGTGTTATATGGTATATTCCAGTCTTCCAATCTTCCAATCTGTCTGTTACCTCTGGCCTAGTGTGTACAACTCTCAGGTGTTACACATATATTTCAGAAGTGCCACTTTCAACAGTGTCAGAGAAGATGATCTGTAATGTTTACTCTACAAGGAATGGAACAATTGGGTGTTGCTTGCCCAACAGTCTTTTGTCAGACCTTCAAACATTTCACACTGCTTTTCTTTGTTGAGATGGTAGTGCTAAATGAACAAGGCATGCTGACTTTTACAACCTTTTGTTTGTTTACAGGAGTACACATGTCCAAGATGTGATTCAGGGTTTATTGAGGAACTGCTGGAGGAGAGAAGGTGTGTATGCATTTTATATTGAGCCCAGTTTTCCTAATCGAGGCCGTTTTTTGTGACTATTACACTCTAAGAGAGTTATGAAAAGTATTCATTCCCTATGTGTAATGTAACTTCATAGATGTTCTTTGTAAAGGAAATTATGTATTCTCTAAATGTCCTTATTTTCATACAATTAACCATCATTCATAACTGTGTATACTGTATAGTAGGGTTCACAATCACATACTTGGCAAATAAAGCCGATTATGAACATGCCTAAGCTGATATATAGTATAAGAACCCCTTAAACCTTTTACATTTGAACACCTACATATATTAGATCAAGTAACAATTGGGGAAGAAATAAGTCATAGAAAAGCTTGATTTCATAATTGCAAATTATGTAAACTATGATAAAATAAAAAAAAGCATCCCATGGTAACCACTTGTCCCCTGTTTAGTGCTGACAATGGCTCCACGTCTACCATTTCCAGTGCCCCCCAGAACCAGCAACCATTTGAGGTATCTAACCCATTTTTTATTCTCTAATCACTACAAGGTTTCATAATGTGTCAGAATTTCCTCAAATGGTTTCCATCTGCATGTTTTGCTCATCTAGAACTGCACAGGATGGAAGTCTTGTCATAGTTTCCACTTCTGCTTTTTTAACAGAACAAATGATGTCTCTGTAATGTTATATCGGAATGATTGGGCTGTTATAACTGTGCCCAAAGACAGGTAACAGTGATGGCCTGATATGTAGGTTATGTTAGTGCTGTAGGGTAACCTTTAAATGTTACTGAGGATGTGATGATGATGTTACTAAAGTTAAAGGGGGGTTCTCTTTGCCGGCATGCATTTCCATTGGTTTGAAATTTGACCTCACTGTCAACAAAACTCTAGTGCTTCAGGTGTTTGTTGGTACAATAAATAGCTGCAGGTATGTAGAGGACTTGCAAAGCTTCACATGTTTCTACCATCAAGATTACAGCAATCCGGTTTTTCTGTTTTTCTCCCAGAATCCGGACCAGCACATGTTTACATTCCCTTCGGGCTACGGCCAGTTTGCCCTGGGTGTCTTCGACGACCGCTTCGACTTCGGAGCTGGGCTGGGAACAGAGGACAACAGGGACGCAGAAAACAGGCGAGAAAGGGAAACGACATCACGGCAACGATATGGTGCTAGGCAACCGAGAAGTCGTCATGGCTCAAGGCGACAAGCAGGGAGGCCCGAGGGAGTTCCCACTTTAGAGGGGTAAGTGTACAGACTGGGACTTGAGTCAGTACTCAAGCATGAGTGGGACTAAGAGGTTCCTTAATAGTGGATCACTTGTTTTAATTTATAATAGTGCTATCTTTTCTATTATAGAATCATTCAGCAACTGGTGAATGGAATAATTGCACCCACTGCAATGCCAAATATTGGTGTTGGACCCTGGTGAGTATCAGGCACGGATCTATATTTAACAATAAAAATGAATTCTCCACAAAATGCACTAGGTGTCTCCCAACTGCTCTAATGTTTGATTGTTCTTTTTAAGGGGTGTTCTTCACTCAAATCCTATGGATTATGCCTGGGGTGCTAATGGACTAGATGCAATTATAACTCAGGTATTTATTAAGAAGTCCTCATTGTTTTAAATTGTTTCATGTGTGATTACTTCCAGTACGGATTTGTTTGAACATTTTACATGTTTTGTAAGGAAATCTGCAGCATTATGCATACAAACATACATTTAAATAATTGTCCATCTTTTTTTCTCGTCTTTAGTTATTAAACCAGTTTGAGAACACGGGTCCTCCGCCTGCTGACAGGGATAAAATAAAAACCCTTCCTATAGTTCATATTACAGAGGATCACGTTGGTAAGTTAAACTATTTTTTAGAGTGTAATATAATGTGTTATGGCTGGTTTTCTTTTTCCTTCAAATATATAAGATGAAACATTGTTTGTACAGCGATATCATTACATTTTGTATTGAAAGTTGAGTGCGCCAAATACATCAGTGGTATTTCAATGCATTAACCATTTTGCCAAACTAGCCATCTTCAATAACTAGCTTTAAACATTTAAGAATGTTTTAGTCAAGTTTTTCAACAAGTGAGCTCAAAGGGATAATTCTGTAAAAAAGTCTTATTGGAGGTATAATCTGACTTATTGGTAGACAGAATCTTTTTTAAATTCAAACATGTTTAAAGTCCATCTATACAGTATGTGCTGTTTTTATAGTTATCCTAGGTACTGAACACACCCATCGCATCGTGTTTTAGAGCGCTAGTCACTCTGCATAGCTTAAAGGGGACCTATCATGCAAAATGCACTTTTGTACGTCTTTTATACATGAATATGTGTCCCCGGTGTTCCAGGGAACTCACCAAGTGTCAGAAAACACAACCCTCTCTATTTTCCTCCATACCCAAATCTCTAAAAAAGGGGCTGCAACGGATCTGATAAAAACTGATCCAGATTTGAACACTGTCCTGACGCCAGGACGGTGGCGCTACGGCTATTGGGCCAACTCCACCAATCAGGAGGAGACAGCCACGGCCATTGCCGTTCGAAAGCGCTGGAGACGCTGTAGTATATATGCCAGGCCTGTAGGTGGTGCTGTTCTCACAGAATCAGCCCTTGCAAAAACAGGGGTAAAAAAGTGCAAATTGAGCGAAATGAGGCATGGCTAAAATGCATGATCTGTTTGGTATTTTGAAAAAAAAAAAAAGTATAAATATGCCTTATATAGGTATGGTCCTACACTATATTATTCAAATATAGCATGATAGGTCCACTTTAAGTCAAGTCGCCCAGTAGCACAGCATCCTACCCTCTTTCTGAAAAAAAACAACCCTTCATTATCACATCTTATTTTAAACATTTATATTGCTGTTTGTTTTTCTTTAAACCCCTTGTCCCAAACCACGTGACAAATCATATAAAATAATGTTATTTACACATTTGTTTTCAGCTTCAGGACTGGAATGTTCAGTGTGTAAAGACGATTACAGTGTTGGAGAAATTGTGAGGCAGCTCCCATGCAATCACATGTTCCATAATGACTGCATAGTCCCCTGGCTGGAACAGGTAATGAACCTCAGCTTTCTTATGTCTGATATATCAAACTGTGTGATGTGGAAGTACATCATCAATATCAGTTACAGAGCTTATTTTATCACTCTTTCTCTCCAGCATGACACTTGTCCAGTGTGCAGGAAAAGCTTGAGTGGACAGAACACGGCAACAAACCCTCCAGAACTATCAGGGATGAACTTTACCCCCTCCTCCTCTTCCTCCTCCGCCTCTTCATCTTCCTCTACACCTCAGTCCTCGAGTTCGACCAGCAATGAGAACTCCACTGATAACTCATAGAGGACCACTTGTCCTCATCACCCTACGAGCTGTTTATAGCTCCTAGGCTGCTGTACTTCAGAGCTGTGATCTCCAGTCCCCCCCCCCCCCGCTGTAGGGTAGGGACCTGAGCAGCGGCCAGGAGCACTGGAGCCTGATCAGGGGTAAGTGATACGTGAGGTCCATGCAGTTCTGCCTGCCCTGCTGCTCCCACCTTGATCAGGGATCTGAACAAAGGAAAGGCGGAGGGAGTGCAGCTTCTGTCAGGGCGGATGTAGAGAAGCATGGAAACTTCAAAAGGGCTCGATCTGCCTGAATCCCCTCATACAGGAAGAGACAACAAAGGGATCCAAAGGTAGAAGACTCGGGACAACGAGACAGTCTCTGATTTTCTTTTCTTTTTTACTCTCAGACTTGTATGATTTAAAATTGGCCCACTTTTACCAATGAAGCAACAAGAAATGTACAGTTATTCCTTTTTATAAGTAGCATTCATATCTCTGATAAAATGACCCAAAGTGCACGATTAGTGTGCATTTAAGTTTCTTCGTGGTTTAGAATATTGCATTTGATTTGTTTTAATCTCCAAACAAAATAGTTTATGAAATGATTTTATTTTCAAGATCCACTTACAGATGACCTGAGACCATACAGGTACTGTTGTTTGCACTGAAAATGAAGCGTCAAATTGCAGTAATTTGGTGCCGTTTGGATAATGTTGTGGAAAATCATTACTAAATTAAACATAAGGATTTTGTTGTGTTAGCTGCAAGCCTAAAATAATTAGAAACATTTCATTGCTTTTTTGCATTTTTAACTTAAAGGTAAATTAAATATTTTCTAAAGTTGCCAGTTGAAATCTATTGATTTGCAGTATGGTCGTGTCAAAAAAAAAAAAATGATATGAAAATAAAGCTGTTTGGGTGCTACCACTCAAAATTCATGTAAAGCATTCTCTGTGTCTGTTTGGGTGTTTATATAATCCTATTTGAAGTCTTATCATGAAAATTGAGCTTGTTTCATAAAGTGACAACATACATGGTCAATTGTTGGTGAACAACCACTGGGACAAAGTCTGTTAGCTGCACTTTTAGTGTGAGTAGACACTAGATGGAAGTACGGTGAAACAAGAACATTTTCCAAAATGTAGTTGTTGGTACAGCAAATCACAATAATTGAACAAAAAAATATGTAATACGGTAAAGCTTTTTTTGAAAACAGGCAAGCTATGAGCTGATCTGGTCTGATTTTCCCCAGTATAATTTATGTCCCTTTAATGACATCTTGCCGGCTCTTGGACCAACCATTATTATATAAGGTTTCGTGACCATTTTGTACTTTCAGAGAAAGTTCTGAACTCATGAAATGTTATCAACAAGCCAAAAATATTCTGCTTCCTTTTATTGTTAAGCAATATGGGTGTATTTCCTCTGCATTGTACCTCTTCTCCCCGGGGGTTAGGGTTCAAAGGCCTTTCATCTGAGGGGATTGTTAAGAACAGAACATCTTGTAACTGTTTACCTTCAAAAATGAAATGGTGTTTTAATGTGCAGTGACTACAGATTCAATGTCTAAAACCACTATTTTAGCTCGGTAAAAGTGTGTGTGTGTATGGGTATCTTTTTTCAGTGTTGCAGCTCACTTCTAGAAATGATTCAGATTTTGTGACTAAACAATTAACTCAAACAAGTGAAAACATTTAAAATGATTTTTTAATAGGCAGGGTTGTAGTAGTCTTAATTCAACAATTGGGTTGTCTGGAATTTGCCTTGCTTTCTCTACAAGTTTCCATTTCACAGCCAACTTCGAAGAAATATTTCTATCATCTCCATATTTCTTTGCTAATATCTCAATTGTGTTGTGTCATTATGTTACGTCTATATGGTCACTGATTACAGCCTACATTTTTTTAAATGGTGTGCTGAGCCTGGTCCATGCCTCCTGATCAATTGTTTCTTACCCAGTACTAACCTCATAAATCAGATTTTAAATAATGCAGACAATTCATTACCCAATTTTTGGTATTCACCAACATATGGGTGAATTTCCTTTAGACACTGTATTGAGTTGACTGATGTGCATGCTAGTCCTGTATATGTGATACAAAAGGTGTTTCTCTCTTAAACATCGACATAATTATTCTGTTTTGACTTTATTACATTTGACATTAACATCCCTTTAACATGTTGTTCCCATGAAACACATGGAAATGGAACTTTGACCACTTTTCCTTACCATTTTTACGATTAGATTGAGCCTATTTTTTTAAATAACAGAAATATGGTCATGAAATATCAGGGGTGGAATGTAACTAAGTACATCTACGCAAGTACAATTTTCAGGTACTTGTATTTCACTTATTTTTGCATTATGCATTTTTTACATCTTACTACTCTACATTCTTTTTTTTTTTTAAATAGTTACTATCTACTTTGCCGGTATGGATTCATAATAGAGAATATAAATCAACCAATAAATCAGTATAGGTTTACCCAACAGTAGCCTATAGCAAGTAATTTAAAAAACTTTAACAAAAATGTATTTAAAAAAAATCTGATATGGTCTGATATGTTACTGGAAAATGTGTACTTTTACTTCAAGTACAATTTTGAATGCAGGACTTTTACTTCTAACAGAGTATGTTTACAATGTATTATTGCTACATTACATTAAGTAAAACATCTGAGTACTTCTCACTGTTAAATAGGTTTAGAAAGCATTAAGAGGTCAGTATCCATTCATGGTGGCGACCGAGAGCGTGGCCACGCCTCTAAAGTATTACGTCACGTTTACGTGCTGATCAGGGCGTATGCGTGAGGTGCAACCAGAGGACGACATCAACTGAAACATTTCAGCGTCCACATCTCGCTGGAAGTTCAGAAGGAAAAGGAGGAAGAAGATTCCGCCCGTCGAATTAAACATTGTGTTTATTCGACGACTTAGTTAATACTTAATCATCCACCATGAACTTACTGTGGGCTGTCAGTGCCCTGCTGTTGAGCTGTTGGCGAGCCAATGCGTCCACAGGTAAGAATTGTTTGTCAGCCATGTTGGGAGAAAATGTATCGTTAGACTTTGCCCTTACTGGTTAACGCTAAGAACAGTAAACAATGGTTAATTCTGCTTCTTATTAGCCAGCGTTATGAAACGTATTTTCTCTGTCGAATATGTTTTCGCAGCTACAACTATTACGAAATGTAACCAGCGTGAATAGGAAACAGTCACGTATTAGAGCTAGCTGCATTGGGTTAGTGTTATCGCTATGGACACATTTAACGTTAGTCGGAAAATCCTTTCGGACGATTTACCAGGCCGTTGAGTGACAACACCATTTACATAACGTTGGATTTGTCTTTTTATCTGCCTCAGCTTTAAAGAAACGAGGTGAGATATTAATAAAATGTTAGCGGTGTAAACGGTCACAAGACGTTAATTTAAAGCGTATGGTGGTTCAGTAATGTTTGCTGTTGTCCACTGAAATAAATGACAGTTGCGTAACGTTGGTAAGTTATGGTAACCGTCAGTAATTATCGTTAACTGCTGTTTTCACGTTCACCCTGAGAGGGTACAATAGTAATTGTAGATCTTTAATAGGTTTCCTCACAGCATTTAAGGAACTGGAGCCTTGCTTTGTGACGTTAGAAGAGCCCCCCTGGGCATAGTTGGTGGTTTGTTCTGATAGACCGGCCATTGGTTGTCTTTTCTGTGAGCCAGTAACATTAGGCCCAATCAACATGATGCGTATCAGCTGTCACAATACAGTATTTGCAGCCGTCTGTCATTTTCTGTTGCAGTATTTGTATTACTATAGCAGGGGTGTCCACACATTTTCCCCTGAGGGCCACTCACCTAGAGATGATGTATTTTGCCTGATAAATTAAGTTAAAGTAAGCAAAATCAATCACATGTAGGTATATTATTCTTGATAATTGAATATGCTTAAAGAAAAAAACAGTCTCCCTCCCAGCTTTCCATTAAAAGGGTAGAGATGTTGTATTGAGGGTCTTAAAATGACCTGCCACTTGCCCTCCTTTGCCCCACTCTTTTTATGGCATGGGTTGCATTTGAATAACATTATTGTGCAAGAGCAAGTCTGTATTCATATATGAAGCTATTTTCTTAGTTACAGCAAGCATAATATATTTATTTTAGAAGTTCAATATAGGACAAGCACAACTTTCATATGTGGGCCATATTCCATTATACTTTTAGAATTTGCTTCGGGCCAATAAAAAATGGACGGTGGGCTGCAGTTTGGACACCCCTGTACTATAGGGTAGAGATGTTATATTGAGGGTCTTTGAATGACCTGCCGCTTGACCTTCTTTGCCCAACTCGTATGACGGCATGTGTCACATTTGAATAACATTGCTGTGAAAATAAAGCTATTAGTTACAGAAAGCACAATTAATTACCTGTTGGTTGCGTCACGTGACATGGGTGTCAGTATTGGCTATTATGGCAAATGACAGGCTTGGCTTATGCTCCTTTGGAATTGGGTGTGAGCCATATTTATGGGGATGCTTACTGCTTACTTCTGCCGTTAGCTGTGCATATAGCAGTTGTGTTTTACATTTTATAATAAAGCCACCTTCAAATTGTTACCCTAATGCCACATCTCTATGAACGATCATCCCTTAATGAGCTTGTAAGACTTTAAATATAATAGTGAACACATAGGACACCATTTATACGAACGGGAGTTATTCAGTTGTTGTAGTGCTTAGGATTTTGATGTCTGTTTTCATGAAATGTATGCCTTTTACGTAATTAAAATGGAATACTGTTGAAATGGGTTCATGCTTTCTGAAAGAGCACACTTCATAATACCCAAACTGAGTCATCTTCCTCTGTGTTTTGTCATTTAAAGGCTGTTAAGTGAGATGGGCAAGTAAAACACTGACACAATATTATGAAACTATTTTCTTAGCCAAATTTCCCCTTATTTGGTATGGTTTCCTAAAACACGGTTAAGAACATGTAACCGTGTTTTGCACAGAGTTGGTACCAGCAACCAGACGTTTAATGAATGTGTACGCGCATTAAAAAACCAGGAGCCCTCATGCCATTCATTGTTCCCGGTTTTGGTAATGACAGATATTCTAGAGCCTTTTCTGTGGCTTTACCTTTCATGAACAATGGGTTACAAGGCAGGCAGGCAGGCAGTTAAAACTACATTGAATGAAAAAGACAGGAAAAGCTTGTTTTTTGTCACATATTTAAAGTACTGGATGTTTGGTCCTAATAATTTGCTAAACAGTAGGAAATACAGACCACCATTTTAAAATCCCGGCTGCTCAACCTGTTTCACTCAAATTATTCTATTGCAGTCGGCACAGTAGCACAGACAGTGACAGGTTGTTGTATTTTGGTTGTGGGAGTTGACATACTACTGATAGTGTTGATAAATCTGTGTTCCACCACAACTGAGTGACTAAAAGGTTGGCTACTAGATCACTCTACACTGGAAACGGAAAGCTTGAAAAATCTGTTCATATTCAAAGGATTTTATGTTTGTTGAATGTGACAAGTATATGCCCCCTCCTCATAAGTTGTTTATTTCCAAACAGTGACCTTGTCCGAGTATTTGAAAGGCTGAAATGAACACATATCATGGCCTCTTAACAGTGTGCCTGTTTTCTATGGGTGTCATTGTTTGTGTTTTTTGCATGTTGCACCACTGGCATCCATTTTCTATTGGAACGGTTCTTGCATTGTACGAGGAGCAGGCTTGGATTTTCGTCATTTTAGGGGCAAGGCCATTTGGCCTTTGGTGTCACACATTTTTTTCAGGGCGCAAAGGCCACATGCCAGGGCACAAAGGCCATTGAGGGAAACATTTGGATTTGGAGCTTACAAATAAGTAACTTCACTTTCTGATAAGAAAAACACACGAATGACATGGAAAACAAATCACTTTTTTAATATCAATAATGTCAAACATTATATCATCATATAGGCCTATGCCTCCTTAGTATTACCGTATATAAAATGAAATGAATAATTAGTGTTTGGTATTTTTCCATCTACTACTTCTCCCATTCACAAATCCAAAATCAAATCAAAAAATCTAAAATTCTATTAATATGTAACAAATATATTCGCTGCTTTAATTCTATCTTTAGGACGTTGTTGTGAGTTTGGACAGAGCAGATACAGGTTAGTTTCTGATCGAATGGAGATCGCTCCATTCAGAGAACACGCATTTTAAAAGTTTTTCGCCTGCCGTCTTGTCTGCACACTTGTCAAAGCATGGTTTTTACTAACCGTTGTCAGTATTTAGTTACTTCGGCATCATTCTGAAACGTGTATTGCAATTAAATCACGGTAAAATAGGTTAATTTTGTCGTAGTTGGTTTCCACCACAGTATTTACATGGATATATATAAGCCCCGCCCCCTCTCCAGCGTGTCCTGTTTGAATGACAGGAGTAAACACAGCTGACAGCCGCGGTGAAACTCCAGCGGATGAGGGTCACACAGGCCATGGTGGCCGTAGGACGTACAATTATTTTCGGGGTTTCACGGCCAGACCGAGGGGCAATGACGGCATGGCCGCCGGTGAAAATCCTACCCTGACGAGGTGTGTTTCCCACATTTTTTGTTAGATTTTAGGTTGGGTGGACCTCATTTAAAGCACTTCGGTTGCACTTGACTGAGCTGTATGAAGGAATTATTTTTCTCAATTTATTTTCTGGCTAGACTTTATGCTCACGAATTGTAGTCTCATAACATACAAAATCCATTCCAAAATCCAATCCAAAGACCCCCCCTTGTAGGGGGTCCTGGGGCGTACTCCCTGGAAGAATGTTTCATGCATTTTAAAGTTAAATACATAAATATGGTGCTCTTTAACAGCTACATTTGCTCTTTGGTGGTTCCCATAGAGAAGTGTAAAACTATTTCGAATTTATTATGAAACTGTAGCGGGA